ACCACGCGGGCAGCAGCTCCCTGTCCAGCTGCACCTCGAGCGTCCTGGAGGAGCGCAGCCCCGCCTTCCAGGGGCCAGAGGGGGCCCGGGCCGCTCTCCCCAGGCAGCCCGACAAGGAGTTCTCCTTCATGGATGAGGAGGAGGAGGATGAGATCCGAGTGTGAGGCCGGCCGAGGTGGCTCCCCGCTCTTGGCCCCGTCTCCCTGCCTCCAGCCCACCCCCTTCCCGTTCAGGGGCAGCCAAGAGCCTGGCTTCTGCCACGGACCCTGGGCCTCACGGATGAGGGGCGCTGGCCGAGCCTGGGGGCCGTGGAGGACTTGGGGAGCTGGCCCTGGTGCCTGACGTTGCCCCACAGCCCGGCCTCCCTGAGCTCTGTAGGATGGGACAGGGCTGTGTTCTTATAGCAGGAATCCGTTTCCTTTCCTCCACGTTGGCCTCAGATGGCTGCCAGATGTCCACCTGAGTTCCCGCCTGCAGCTGGGCAGGTCGGCTCAGCGGCGACCTTTGGCCAGGGCTAAGGACACGGCTCTCCTGGGCCCCCCCACCCCCCGAGCTCTGCTGTGGCCCCACAGTGACTTCCCCCGGTAAATGTGTGTCACGGGAGGCATGGGGTGGGCACGAGTCCCGGCCCCTCCCTCCCCGCCTGCCCCAGCACAGGAAGCCTGGAGCCCTTGGAGTAAAGCCGGACTGACAGCCCTGAACACTAACCGCGGCCCCTTCCCGGGGAGGAGGACAGGGCGGGGAGCCGAAGCCCTGGGCTTCTTGAATTTGGGGGACGGGGCCTTGCCCGAGGACACTAGGAGCAGACTGTCCTGGCCGCGCAGCTCCCTGGGTTTTTTGTTCGCTCTTCCTTGGTGTGTTGCCGTCTCCCTGGAGCAGCGACAGATCTGCCATCAGAGGGAACATCCTTTCAGACACTTTACTCGGTGCTTCCGAACTTTACCTAGAATGGTATGGGGTGCGTGTCTGCGTGCACGTCCCCCTCCACCCATAGCTGTTAACAGCGGAAGGCGTCCAGTGCATTAGAATATTTCTGAAAAATGACTTTTTTTAAAGTAATATATCATTCCTGGGGGGGATAAATGCTTTTTTTTGGACTGAGTTATTCCCTCTTCTCCCCCCTCCCCCCTGACGACTTCTTCCTTTCCCAGGCCTCTCGCCAGCTGCTGAGGCAAGGGCCCTGGGGGTAGAGGTAGCAGGGTGGCCAGATTTAGCAACAAAACAAAAGGATAGTTTCTCGGTATAAGTATGCCCCCTTGCCATACGGAACATGCTTATATTAAAAAGTTATTTGTTGTTCCTCTGGATTGCAGATGTCAGCCGATGTCCTCTAACCCTGCTCAAGGGGATTGCGTAGGAGCCCGGGTGTGAGTCCCAGGGTTAACTGATGATGGCTTTTCTGTCCTGGGAACAGGCTGACCCACCGCCTCTGTCCCCTGGCAGCCAGTGGGGGCGGGGCTGGCTGCCACGGGATCCAGCCGGGGCGGGTGGGCGTGGCCGCTCCAGCCTCCCATTTTCTGCCAGATCCTGACTCAGACACTAACTTGTTCCTGATCCCGGTACCCCGTGGGTGCTTGGTTTCCAGTAGTGCAGCCCCCCTCCACTCCCCCGGCTGCCCCTGAGCCCCATCCAGATGGTGGTCCGTCCCAGATTCTGAACTGTATATTTTTTTCATGAAATTGTTAAAACAGCGAGGCAACAATAAAAAAGCCCTATAGTATGTCTGGTGTTCATCTCTGTTTCTGGGAGGGTTTATTTCAGGTTGTGGGTGGGTAGGGGTGAGGGAGGGGGTCCTCGGGGGCCTGAGGTGGCTTCTCGCAGTGCCTTTGGGGCCTGGGCAGGCCTCAGGGGCTCTGGGCCTTTGGGGGCCCCGGGGGCCCTTGGGCACTTCGCTGCTTTGTGCCTCAGTGTCCTCGCCTGTTAGGGGGGGATCCTGCTGCTCCCACGGGGCGAGGGTACAGACATGGTCCCTGGCCTGGTGTTGGCAAAGTTGTTCCTAACCCAAGGGAGGCTATGTTCTCCCAAGCCCCAGGTGCCCACACACATGGGATGTGTCGCCACCAGGACACAGCAGGTGCCCTTTACCCTTTGACCTGGAAAATCAACCTAGAGGCGGCGTGTTCTCCTTCAGCCTCTGGGCCCAGGAGGTAGACGCTGGTGCCCCCCTTCTATGTGCTGAGAGCCCATGTGGCCACGTTCTCCGATCACCAGGTCATGGAGTCAGGACGTGGCTGGTTCAAAACGCGTGTGCCCGGCAGGTGTGGCTCAGTGGTTGAGCGCTGACCTATGAACCAGGAGGTCACGGTTAGAATCCTGGTTAGGCCCATCCCCGGGTTGCAGGCTCTATCCCCAGTCGGGGAAGTGCAGGAGGCAGCCATCAATGCTTCTCTCTCATCATTGATGTTTCTATCTCTCTGCCCTCTCCCTTCTTCCCTGAAATCAATAAAAATATATTCAATAAACACATTGGCCTCGTCACTCAGGCGCCTGGAAGCTCCATCACTCGGGAAAGTGAGGTCAGGGGTGTGTCTGCCCTGGGTGGGGACCCGGCGACTCCCCCACCCACCCACCTGCCTCACCACCTTCCCCTCCGCCCTGGCACCTCTGAGAGGCGGAGTCAGCCTGGGCAGGGCTGGCTCTGCAGCTGCTGCCCCTCGCACGCCCCTCCATGTGGGGGCCCGTGTGGCTGAGTCCCTGGAAACCCTGTTCCTCTCGCTGGCGTCCACAGAGAAACTTGGGCGGCACTCATCCTCGTCCTGGGAAACAGTGAGAAGCACAATTAAAATGTTCCTCTGTCCCTAGTCTGGCTCATTAGAGCTAATGAGGGACGCGGCTGAGACCGGAGTCAGGAGCGAACGTGTGGTGGCCCTGGGGGCGGGGGTTCTGGGGCACATCCCCAGCCCAGCACATCCCCTGGGCGCTGCAGCCTAGCTCTAGGCCCTTGCAGAGGCGAATGCAGGGCAGTGGGGGCCCAGGCAGGTGAGGGGAGGACACCTGAGCGGGGGCTGTGCTCCCAGACAGTGTAAACCCCTATTCCACCGGCAGCCACTGGCGCAGGGCTCCCGAGGGTCTGGGAGAAGCCAGTCGCCCTGAGCTCCAGGCCTGCTTACTGACTTGGAGAAATGCCAGCCACTCGGGACACCCCAGGGGCCTGGGGAGAGACCTCACTTAGACCCACACCTACAGCAGCACACACCCAGCCACCCCCTCCTCTTCACCAGGGTGACCATGTCCCCAGGAGAAAGTGGACAAAAACGAATGGAGGCATCAGCATGCGAAGGCAGGGGGTTCTCAGCATCTTCAAACCTCAGGGTCAGGTTCAAAACCTCTGTTTCTTTGAAAATATTTTTTTATTGATCTCAGAGAGGAAAGGAGAATGCGAGAGAGAGAGAAACATCAATGATGAGAGAGAATCTTTGATCAGCTGCCTCCTGCACGCTTCACACTAGGATCAAGCCTACAACTCAGGCACATGCCCCGACCGGGAATCGAACGGGGAATCGAACCGTGACCTCCTGGTTCATAGGTCGATGCTCAGCTCAGCCACTGAGTCTCGCTCGCCAGGCCGGCCCCATCTCCGTTTTACGGGAGAAGAAGGCGCTGGCCAAAGTCCCATGAGTGAGCTGAGCGGAGATTGCGAAAGGGACTGGGCTGGCTTTGAGCCGGCGGATAGTATGGGGCGCAGCTGCTCACAGGGCCGGGCGTGTGGTAGTTGTGGGGGTGGCC